TATCCTTAATCTGTCATGCAGAGTTCGCTTGATGGCCCCAGGAAACAGGAAGAAGCAACACTGCCCCAAGCTACACCTTGAAAGAAAAACACACACCAGACCCAACAGGGGGATTTACAATACACACTCATGAGTAGTCACATAACCAGAGCTCATTCTTCTTGCTCAGTGGCCTGATTATTGTCTGTTTTTGTTTGAGGAATGTGTCACATCCACTCATTTTCTAAAAACAGACCCCAGGTCCATGAACACGCCATTAACTCACCTAAACTCATGCTTCTAATGACTTATTGGACTTCTCTCTACTCCTATTGACAAGCTAAGGACAAAGGTGACTTGTCCCCCACAGCTGAGAAAACAATTAGAAGAGTCCCCTAATTGACTTCAGTCAATAGAGGAACAAAATCGTTGCCAAATCTTAACAAAAACAACAATCTGAGTGGGTTAGAGGAACCGACGCAGATGGATAATAGATGCTGTCCCCTTTTACATACATTCAAAATGGAGGTTTCTAAATTTTAAAACTTTCCTGTTCCCTGTCACAGCTCTTTCATCTTTCTCCCTGCGTGGTCCTTTTTCAGATGCTAATGAGATGGTCTGGTAAATTTCTTTTACAACAAGTGAGAAGGATTTAATTCTGTCAGTCAATCATATGCAAAGGAACAAAGGCAGCATGATATAATATTAAGTTAACCATACGAGCCCATGCAGTGAAAGTGTTTTGCTCAGTTTTTGGCTCAATTCAAAGCAAAAGTGGATCCACCAACCTTAAATTCAATTTACAGACTTAAATCTGTCAGCTCAATCACAAACTAAGGAAACCTACAAAGTTAACTGGAACCCTCTCAAAATTCTATTTGGAAGAATAAAAGCACATTCATTGAACAGTTTTTGAGAATGTGTAAATAATCCAATTCTGAACGAGATGTGTACATAAAAAGCTCATTAAAATGGATTCCTCATGAGTTTGAACTACATTTTATTGGCCATTGTATTGAGCATCTTGTATTCTTACAACCTCTTGCAGTCTGCCTGATAGCCGTCAAAAAGGCAGAACCCAGAGAGACAACTGGGGATTTAAAGTGTCACGAGCGCCTGCAAAACATAGTCCCTGCTCTCTCGGCTTCATTGTCAAAGAAATGGGTGATCACATCCTAATCCTGAAACTCTTTCCTATATACTAAGCTGCTGTTTTGTTTTTCAACTTTTTCCTCAAAAGGAAGTAAGGCACCATTAAAACAAAAGCCCGTTAGAGCCACACACCCTTCACAGATCATTAAGAGTGAATGTTTGAGAAAACGGGCCTAGTGTACTCAACAATGAGCATGTAGCAGCATGTAACACTACTCCCTCATCCATACAATGTTAACACTGCTGTCAACAGGCTGCAGCAACAGTGATCATATAGCGATGTGGTAACAAATCTTGTAAAGCCATATGAGGCAAACACACACACATGTGTGTAAAACAATGCAGACAAGATTGCGAAACCCCCCCATAAACACACTGTTCTCTGTTTCTTTAATTGATTCACCGTCTCAGTCACAAAAAGGTGAAGTGATCCAAAAATATGAATGGTCCCTTTATCTTGAGAAAACCTTGCCTGATAGGCCGTGGGATCGCAGGATCTATATGGTTATAAAACAGGTGAAATACTTTAAAATTCATCTCAGAAAAGTGTCTGGAAGGTGTGTATCAAGACTGACAGGAGAGCAAGAGAGCATTAAGTCATTATCAGCCAAAGTCTTTCCAGATGTTTTTTCTGCTAATTAACTTTGTCTAGTTTGGTACATTAGTCCAGACTAATAGGCTAAAAACAAAACAAAACAAAACAAAAGAAGAGACACACTATATACCCCTCATTATTTGGCCATGGTGCTCTGCCAGAAAATGGTGGGCTGCTCCCTCTGGGATGGGATTGAGTTGGTGCCCCAGGTGAAGGAGTTCTCAGAGTCTTGTTCACAAGTGATGGTAAAATCGAGCATCAGATTGACAGGAGTTTAGATACTGTATCTGAAAGGGACCCTGAGTAGAACCACTGCTCCTTCACATCGATATATGCTCCAACTCTCATCTGCGGTCACGAGCTGTGGGTAGTGACCAAAAGAATAAGATCACGAATACAAGCGGCTGAAATGAGTTTCCTTCATAGGGTGGCCAGACTTGCCCTTAGAGACAGGGTGTGGAGTTTAGATACTGTATCTGAAAGGGACCGTGAGTAGAACCACTGCTCCTTCACATTGAAAGCACCCAGTTGAGGTGGTTTGGGCATATTATCAGGAATCCTCTAGGGCGCCTCCTTTTGGAGACTTTCCGGGCCCGTCCAACTGGTAGGAGACCCCAGGGTAGACCCAGAACATACTGGAGAAATTATATAATCTCATCTGGCCTGGGAATGCCTCGGAATCCTGCCAGAGGAGCTGGAACATATCGCTGGGAAGAGGGATGTCTGGACCTGCTGCCACTGTGACCTGACCCTGGATAAGCGGCAGAAAATGGATGGCTGGATGGATGTTTGGACACCCATGTCTTCACATTGCCACCACATACAAAGCAAGGTCCACAAAGAAATGATTTTCTGAGCTTAGTGTAGAAGAAGTTGAATAGCCTATACCGAGCCCTGATCTCAACCCCATTTTAGAAAACTCCCGAAGCAAGCTGCTGCAGTCACAGTCCAAATCTTCTTGAAAGTCCTTGAAAGGTTTTGGTTTTACAATGAGCTCGAGGTGTAATGTTCGGGTGTCTGCATCATTTTGACCATGTAGAATACATAACAATTTAAAAAAGTATACATGTAGACGTATATCCAATATGACAGTGTCCCAAATTAACAAGCCAAAATATTGCTGAATTACAGTTTGATCTAAAGCCGTACATTAGAGTATTGGAAGAAACCTGAACTTGAACCTGCACTTGAGAGTTGTATTATACCCTGTCTGGACAGAAACATCAAAAGGAGTTTGCTTTTGTTAGAAACTGCCACTTTAAAACTGAAATTGGGCCCTTTGGCAAAGCAGCAGTCAGCTCTGAAGCTTTCACACAGTGGAAATGTCACCTGTCATATGCACTTAGTGTCTGGCAGAAGTGCACGTATTGGCTCTCTCTGACTCTCTCTGCCATTATGCCCTGTAACTGGCAGTAGCATGTGAGGTGAAGACCTGGCACCCCCACATTAACCAGCCTTGTTTGTATACAAGCTATAAGTAGAAGGGGAATATGATGAGTTGCCCATTAGCCTGCGGCAAAAGGATTTTTAATTGTGCTAGCCTATTTCAAATCCAAGTACTTTGCTTGGTTTCTTTATGGCTCCATAAAACCAACAGCAGTATGCAAAAGTGAATTAGCTTGCACAGCATGCAAAAAAAGTGCAATATATCAAAAGACAGTTCTACTGTAATGCTATTTTCTAGACAGACTAGACTGTTGAAGCACTGCCCATAATAAAACGCATAACACTGTCTTCAAATACAAACTCACGCTTAAAAAGGCACACCAGGGGGAAACCAAAATGCAGAGAATATACACAGTCCATTTATTTTTTCTGATTGTCTTTTGTGAGTCTGAGTGTGTGTGGGCAGCGGTGGCATCTTTTAATAACCGATTCAACTGCTGTCAGAAAAGAAAAAAGCAACGAAGAGGGGAAGGACAAAGAGAAGTAAAAATAAAGAGGGTGTTAGAGAGAAGAAAGAAAGTGAGCAAAAGGAAGCAGATGAGTGAGGGAGGACATGAAAATTGTAAGAAAAGACAAGAAGAGTAAGAAATCTGAAGTGTAAAAAAACTAAAAACTAAAGGTTTAACTTTTAGGTGCAATTTAAGCTAAGTTTAGTTAAATCTATCGGTGTTGTTTCAGCCCAAATTTAAGACCAAATCATGTGAAGGCACACTGACCCTCACCCTTGAGAAGTGAATCATCTCTGCAGAAACATCATTTATTTATGTAAAGGGGAGACTAAGTTGCACACACAAGAACATCTGGTTTCCAGTACAAACCTGCCCCCTTATAACCCATAACCCGTCTTAGACACAGCTCCAGACCTGTTGAGTTCCCAGCATGCCCTGCTCACATTCTTGACCTCTTTCTGTCATTCTCTCACTTGAATCTCCTCTCCTGCCTATATCTACATCATCCCTGCACTTAGATGTCCCCTTACTGCTGAACAGACAGGGTGTTTTCTGAGAAACTGACAGGCAACATTCCAGGGAATGGGAGAAAATGGCCAATCTGTAAAAATCAGAGCTACGAACAATATTATGCACAGAATACACAAACTCATTCTCTTACAGTACTCTCAGTCAAATTGCATTTCACAGTGTGAAATGAGTGTGACCTGACAAAGCCATAAAAGCCTGCGTCCTGCAGAGTTGGGGCTCTAGTGAAAAGGCCAAAGGGAAATGATAAGACCAGTTTCCTCAACCTCTCCGCATCTGTTCCTTAATCTGCACCCCACAGAGACCCAGGCTGTAGGACAAAGACAGAGATCCTAGGAGGAACTATTCCAACTGGCATCCACCAAGACCTTGTTAAGACGGACACATAGTGCAGCAGCAAAAGATGAAACATTCTGATTCATTTCAAGGAGACATCAGCATTGTGGTGCACAACTAATAAAGAGGATCCCATCCTTTGCCACGGGGCAGGAAAGAGGTCCTAGATGGGAGGAGCTAACAGTACACAAAACATGGACCTAGCATTACAGGGGACCTAAAATAAACAGACAAAAAAAAACATAACAGAATTTATACTAAACACAACAACTACAAGCAAAAAGACATTCAAAGCAATTCAAAAATATGCAGATGTGGGAAAACTATAACATTTTTCTCATTAAAAGAAAATATTTGGCAGGAAATGTCACAGTGATGGCAGTACATCAGTAGGCTATTTACAAATCAAACTATTTATTCACCTTATATATGATATTACAGCAAATCAGAGTTTCTAAAAGGCTCATTAGAGACAAAGCTGGTGTTCAGATTAACGTGGTTGGTTCATTACTTACTGTGACTTGAGGCTTTAAGTGGGCTGATCCTGCTCTTTGGAGGGACCAGCTCCATATTTTGGCCCCTTACATCCAGGGTCTGGCCTGGGGCCTGAGTCTCACTCTGTGATTTCTCCTGTGGCTCATCTGTTGCTAATGACTTCTGTCTGTTGCTACCCGCCTTCATCAGCTTCTCCCCCACACGGTCTTCAGTGGAGGCAGTGACCATGCCAGGGCATTCCTTCTTGGCAGAGGGCAGCTTGGATCCGGCCCCTATCGAGGGGGGCCGGGCCAGCCTGGAGGTTTTGGACATTCTTGCAGGTCAGTCTTTCTCAGCCAGTGTGAGTGCAGCTGTTGGTAATTCAGGGTTTCTCAGCGCTGAGTGAGTGTGACTCGGTGACTCTCCAGCTCCAGCGTGTTGTGACTGGCACAGGTAGGCTGAGAGGGACAGAGGGAGGGAAGAAGGGAGGGCACTTTTGGGAAGCTTGGTGGAAGGCGAGCTGAGGGTGAAGGGGTGGAGGGTTAATAGCTCCTGGGAAGGTGTTCTCTTCTTCTGGTGTGGCCTCCTGGGATCATCCTCCAAAGCAAACAGTGTGTGTATGTGCTGACTGGTGTATATGTGGATAAACCTGTGGAGTGACAGGATGTGCTGTGCCAAATGCAAACAGAAACTCAGGTCTCCGGTGTCAGTGCATTCCAGCTCTTTAATCCCCTCTCTGCCACTCTTTACCTTGCATTCACACACTCTCCTTTTCCATCATTTTGTTCTCCTTTTCACTTCACACTCATAATATAGTTGTCAGCTCCTCTTCCTACCTCATGTCTACAATTCTTTCCCATGTTATTGTCCTCTTGTGCCTTCTCTCTCCTCTTCTCTTTTGCTTCGGTTCATTCGCTCCTCTTTGCTGATGCTCAGTGGGTAACCATTCCAGCGCTGTGGCAAGCGGAGACCAGAGAGAGATGGATTTAGAGACTGCATGAAAAAAAAGGGCATGCAGAGAGAGAGAGAGAGAGAGAGAGAGAGAGAGAGAGAGAGAGGGTGCCGGCAGAGGTTTTACAGATGAGCCCTCCTCTTCAGGTGCTTCTGCTCAAGCCTTTCCAGATGTGTGTGGAACGCTTCGCGTCATCAGCCAGCCAGCCGCTCAGAACCATACTCTGTATAATCACTGGCTTCACCCCATCCCATTTTCCCTCTTTCTTAATCTTTTTCTCTTTCCGTCACTAGTTCGTCCAGTCCAGACGGCCTATGCTGCTTACATGTGGTGAGATGTTCGGGCTGGAATGCACATTCACGACACAACACACTCACTGGTGTAATTTACAGGGAATTAAAGAGCGCAAAGGAGGGGAGCGTTACAATGTGTGTGTATGTGCAAGAGATACACAGTAAGGCTGTTATGATCTGCTGCACCATAGACATCAGCTGTAACAAGAAAAAACTGGAGCAGAAGTTGGATGGAGACAAAATAGCAAGGAAGAAGAGATCAGAGCTCTCACACATTTCTTTTCCTCTTTCAATCTATCCTTAAAAACAAAACAAATCCACTTCTCAGCCTTTAACACTCAGCTTCTCTCAGTCTTGACAAAGTGCTTGGAACAAATGTTTGAAATGTGCTCTATAATAAGGATCATTCCCAAATGTGCACAAGAAATTATGAATCGGTGTTTGTAGGGTAGATATAGAAAGAGCAAAAACAACCACAAAAGAAAGATTTAGTGGCCCTTTTTTTTTTTTTTTAAGAAAGTGAGAATCAGTCTGTTTGCAGACAAAGACTGACTCTGGAAAGTAAAGCCTTACTGTCTAATTCATTAGCTCTGCAGACAGGTCACTACTTTGAGCTCAAAGCCTGTGAAACTGTGTTTATTACGCCACAGCATGCAAAACAGACAGTGATATGATGGGTGCTTACTGTCTAAACACCAGAAAATGGATTACAGTGAGCAAAAGGATCAACTATGTTCATGCTATAAAAGAGCAACAATCCCCACTGGTTTAGTTTCACACAAATTCGATTCAAATTCATCATGTGTACAGCTTTAGATAAAGGCCAATGCAGATTGACCTACATACTGCACTTTCTCACTGAATAATTCGCTGACAAAATCTGAAGGCTCAGGACCTCATGGGAGCGGCTGCATTTCTGACGGATTTTTGAAAGGCAGAAAAAGTGAAGTAGATGGAGACATTAACATAAGACGGAATATTATGTCAGATTTATACATGTGCGTCATCAGTTTGGCTGATGCACAACATCACAGTATTAAGGATTACGCCGTTCTACTATGTTTACAACATCACAGTATTAAGGATTACGCCTAAAAACAGGTGACCATGAAAAGACAGCTTTCAGTGAGTGAGTGAAAAGGCAACTCTCTCAGACTATGGTTAAAGGCCTATTTGTGTGTACATGCTGTTATTAAATGAAAGCCTTCTGTGGGGAGTGGATACCTCCCAGGCTTTAGAACAGTTCAGACTTTGCAGTAGACAAACAACACTGAATTGGTTTATAGGCTCTAAATAACATAGGATTTAGGGATGGATATAATTTGAGTTTTCTAATTAAGCCTCTGATGTGTGTGTGGTGTTATAGATCATAAAATACATCGATGTGTCAAATAAGAAGCCCCCACATCAGCACACTATCCAGACATGACATCAATTTGCATTTTATAATGGAAGTTGAAAACAGTCTTCCACAAGTATTTTAACTTAAAAAAAACTTGTGAAAGATAATTACCTGATGAGTTGAAACTGGTGCTGATTAAAAAAACCTCAGTGACAAATCTGCCACCCATAGATCTTCAAGCTCATGCCAAAGAATCAATGGTTTCCCTTCTCAAGCAGGAAGCAGACTGCTGGGAAGTTTAAGTTGTGGAACACAGGGAAATGCAATAGTGCAAAACATCCCACCAGGTCTGCAGGTTTTTTAAAGCATCTCTCAGCATTGTGTTTTGGTTTCTTGACCCACAACCTTTTTCCCTACTACTCTGATAGAGTATTTCTCAGCTGCAGCAGTTTGTTTCTTTTTTAATCAAAAAAGCTTTATAAAAACTTAATGTACACAATCCACTTAGCACCAAACAAGACTCGGACTTGAGTCTGACTCAAGTCCTGATTTTCAGGATTTGTGGCTCAACTTGGACTTGAACAATTGTTAGGTATTTTTAGTCAGATAGATATTGGATAGATACTTTATGTATTAGAAATGTTTAGTGGAGATAGGATGTCTAGTTAGACTGTTAAATGCTTAGTCATGCTTATGAGTTTCTACAGGGTACATCTGGTCAAGGATAACTAGAGAGAAGAGTTGATGACTGTCAGCAGACAGGATGTTTAATATTATTATTATGACCAGCTGCAGAGCTGGCAACAGAGACGTCTCGGTTGACGTTTCTGTGTAGTATGGGGCTAGCCCAACCGAGGGGATATAATGTATAGGCCTGGGTTGGGTCAGGGTCTTTTCATCTTACATCTGCCTGCGTGCAGTTTGGAGGTGCAAGATACCTGAGCGTGTAATGTTAATTTTACCTGTGATCCTTTGAATAAATCAGCACTGTTTTGAAGTTACTTGGACTGGCTCGTCTCTCAGAGTTAGCAATGGTAAAAAGAACCAAAATAGTTCAACAACACATTGAAGATTTGTATTTGGAAATTTGAGAAGAGGACTCAAGTTTTTTTAATTTTATTTATCTTTTGTAATAGGCCTTAATAATTTGGCATAAGATAGTGATATTAAAAACTTCACCTGCACCATGCTGTATCAGGCACACTTCCATCAAAGAGTATACTCTGTCTAATCAATGTGTGCACTTACATTTGTTTGGCTACTGGGTCATACAAAGTAAGCCAACTCCTTTTAAAATGGTGAGAGCTGAGCCAGTTGAGTTTAATGTACACCTTGAAGACTCAAACTTGGGTAATGTGGACTAAAACACAACTCCAAGTAAATGCTAATGTTGCTCTGTATCACTGGATGTGTAAATAAGTAAATGTTTGCTAACACGTGCACCAGATCATGAGCTGGGGGGATGGGTGAGCTGTGTAGCTCTCTGCTGAGGAAGAAAGTTGAGTTAGTTTTCCAAGACCACGGGAGACGGTTCTGGCCTTTCCTACATTCCATCTCAGAGCTCCCTCCCTTCTATACCATGACTCATTACCGACTGTAACATCCACTCAATACCAGCTGCTGTATCGGTTACTGAAGGCACACTGCATGCTTTACACAAATCCACAGACAGAACAATAACAACCAGCACATCAGCACATCAGCACACTGCTGCACAAACAAACCACAGATGTGACACCGGGTTGCATCAAAGTCACACAAAGATGCTGAAACAGGAAATGTTTATCTCAAATGACATCATGTGTCCCACATGATGAGAGGTAACTATAGAGCCAATACTGAATTGTTTTACAGCTCCTCAGTCTGTGTTTGAGACCTTATGTCCTGTCTCTGGGGCCCCCCTGTGGCCTTATGAATCACTCCGGCTTTTTACCCTTGACATGTAAGTAGTCACATGGGAAAAAAAAAACCCACAGGCAGATCAGAAATGTCCACTTATACACTTACATTTTCATCCAGTTAGCCAAGAGGCCATGGCAGCACAAGGCTCGCAGTCTTGTCTTATCTTTTACGCCGGAGCATTTTAGGAGAGTTTAGCTTCTTATCTGGACAGTCTGTCAAATGTGTTTTTGGAGGCACATTTAATGCGTCTGCTAGAAGTGTATAAAGCTGCTAGAAGGAGAAACAAAACACCGCTAAATTAAAAGTGATGTAAATAAGAGGCCTTGTCACACTATTCATGGCTTATTGACTTTTAGTTCGGTGTTGGGCCGGAGAGAGAAAAAAGAATAAGGGCGAGATAGAATGAAAGAGTTGCTGCTGTTTCAGGACTTGATAACATCTTCCTGGGAATTAAAACTTTATGGCAAATCAAATGTGTCATTTAATGGCACTCAAGAAAAAAAGACACAAATAAATCACTACACAAGCATACTATGTCATAATGAAATCACTTCCCATGTGAAAGAGGGGTAAGGCATGTACCTTTTACATTGCTCAGGAATCAACAAAAGGTGAATATATTTAAATAAATTTGTAATTTGATCTCTCAACTGTTTACCTTTAGCAGACCTGGATTTGATGTGAATACAAACACGCGCGCGCGCGCGCACGTGCCTGCATTTATGCACATGCCTTGAAGGCACACATCCACACCATAAGGGCCAGTTCAGTCTTGTTGTTAGCGCATGTAAACAGCTTGAGGAGCTAAAGGAGACTGTTAGTGACTCACAGGAGGAACAGTTGTGTCTTGATGGTGGTGGCTGTGGCTTACGAGGTAGGGCAGTCGTCTTCTAACCAGCAAGTTGGTGGTTCGATTCCCGGTCTCCCCGCATGCCTAAGTGTCCCTGAGCAAGACACTGAACCCCAAATTGCTCCCGGTGGTTCGACTGGCGCCAGTGTGCGGCAGCCTCTCGTCATCGGTGTGTGAATGTGTGTGTGTGAATGGGTGAATGGTGTATAATCTCCTGTAAAGCGCTTTGGCCAGTGTAACACACTGTGAGAAAGCGCTATATAAAATACAGTCCATTTACCATTTTTAAGCTGGGATAGCTGCAACTTTGGATTTCTTCCGCTACTGGCTCTTTCAAATAAAGGGGAGATATTCAGAATATGTGATATGTCGTATAAATCTGTATATACTCAAGTAAAAGAAATAATTCTTGTGCTGATTCCTAATATAAACATGACAGGATGATTGGCATGTCTGAAAAATGAGCACAATTAGCTTGTATTTTGGTACACAATGGTGCACATGGGCAGAGCCAGGGGGTGGTATGTGTCTCATTTTTACACAGAAATAAACAGTTTGATTCTTAATAATGTGTGGTTAATTATTTCATTGAACTAAGAGTTTAATTTACTTTTTACATGTATTTCAAATGGGCCACTCCTCTGAGTCTGTGC